GCGGCCTGGCCCGGGAGGGGCGCTGGTTACGTAACTGGCAGAGCTCAGGGCCGGGGGCGCTGGCGTTTCCTTGGCAGGCTCCGATTTGCAGGCGGAATATCAGCGACGCCACACGTCCTGCCCCCCATCGTTTTTTAAAAGAAGCCCGTAAGGGGCTTGTTTAGACAGCTCCAGGAGGCGCGGGGACGGGACTTGTCGGGGTCGGAGGCCGGTCTCCCCGCGGGGGGAGCAGCTGTTTGCAGCCGCCCCGAGCCCGGGTCGCTCCCGTCCCGTCATCAATTATGCAGATTGTGTGGCTCCCCGGGGCTGGCCGACTTCTTGACCTCTTTTAAGTTTTCCGTCTCGCTGGCCTTTTCCTAGCAGCACTGGACGGCTTTTTATGTCCCCTGCTTTTAGACGCTTTCCCTCGGTGCTTCGGGAGCGGGCGCGGGCCTCCCTCCCTCTTTGCTTCCCGGCTGTGATGGCCTGTTTTGGTGGTGATGTATGATATCAAGAAACCAACTGGAGAGACCTTTGTGCAGGTTTAAAAGAGAGGTTATTGCCCCGGCCGGTGCGGCTCAGTTGGTTGAAGCTCGGTCCTGTGCACCAAAGGGTCTCGGGTTCGATTCCCGGTCAGGCACGTGCCCAGGTCACGGGTAACCCTGGCCGGGGGCGTGTATGGGAGGCAGCTGATGGATGTTTCTCCCTCACATGCATGCTTCTTTCTCTCTCCCTCTCCTTTCCTCTCTCTCTAGAATCAATGAAGAACATGTTCTCAGGTGAGGATTTTTTAAAAGGAGAGAGAGCCCAGGCCAGTGTGGCTCAGTGGTTAGAGCACTGGCCTGTGGACCAAAGGGTCCCGGCCAAGGACACCTACCTGGGTGGCAGGTTCACTCCCCAGTCCCAGTGGGGTGCATTCGGGAGGCAACCAGTTGATGTTTCTCACACATGAGTGTTTCTTCCCCCCTCCTATCCTCTTCAGAATCAATGAAAAACATGTCCTCCGTGAGGATTAGAGGGGGGTCGCAGTTCATGCATTCCACTCACAATTTCATATGTATTTCTCATTCAGAGAAGAAAATAATAGTCAAAATACATATTTTACAAATCTTTTAAACGTACACTTGGGTCCCTTATTTAATTTTCTCGCTTACTATATTATTTTAAACTTAACTCCAGTCCTTTGGAAATTAGACCTGGACACTGGAAACTGTCTGCCTTCTGAAAAGCCCTCCCTGGTGGCCACACCCCCTGGTGTCCAATGGGCGGAAGGAAAAGGGCAGTGGAGTTGTCCAGAGAAGAAACCCCAGCCTCAGGTAGTTGGCGTCAGGTTATGCTCTCCCAGAACTAAATGAGAGAAATTGGGATTTGGACCTGAATTAAGATCGAGAGGAATGTTGTTCCTATAGTTGAGTGATGCAGTTTCAAAACTTTTGATTTCCTTTATTAGTCAGTAGAATAGAATGTTTCTAGTTTATTTTCCAAGGTATCTTACCTAGAGCAACAAACCAGCAACACGATAACTACAGGTTTGGGATTGTTCTACCTAAGGGTCGACTTCCGAGTATATGGTTCTTAGAGAATGTTGTTCTCCTGGGGCAAATAGGCATTTTCTTTAAGCTGCTGTGGCGGCGAGAAGTGACTGGTCACAGGTGCGCAGCATCCCAGCGTCCTGGGCCGTGTTTGTGTTTGGAAGTCATTTGCATCGGAGGGGAAGAAGCAGTGGGACCTGAATTGAATTGGTCCACTCTTTCTTTGGCAGCTGGACACAGTTTATCGGCCATGTGTGTGGAGAAGCTTTAACCAGGGGCAGCTTCCCGGTGAGGAAATGCCATTCGCAGGATTGCCCAGGATTGCCCGTGCTCAGGACTGCGTTCCTCACAGCCAGGCCCCGGGTCACAGGGCTAGAATTTAAAAATGGACTTGAATTCTCCCTCACTAGAGACCTTGTGGAAAGTTGGTTTCAGGGCAAGGAGCCCTTCCTTTAGGGAAGAGCCCCAGTAGGGCCAGTTTGCACATCGCCGAGCCTTCGCTGTCCGTGGCAGGCCACGTGTTCCTTTATGGGTTTTCCTTCTCTGGTTCATTTATTCAGCAAATATTTATTGTGTTCATCAGTGAAAACCAGACACGGATCTCTGCCTTGTGGGTCTTGCATTCTGGGGGGAGGACAGGGCACACAGTGAACACAGGGAGTGAGTGACCGTGGAGCCTGTCTCGAAGACGGAGAACCACGGAAACCAGACAGAGCACCGTGAGAGTTGGGGTGGCGTTTGGGCTTGAGATGGAGGACAGAGCCAGCCTAGTGGGGCTGGAGGGTGGCAGGGAAGGCACAGAAGGTAGGTGTGTTCTGGGCCAGGTTGCAGTGCAGCAAGGTAGGGAGAGGAGCACAGGACCAAGCCTTCAGGCCACCCTAGGGACTTTGTGAATGAGAACTTTGAAGGGCTCTGAGCAGAAATGCGACCTCTGTGTTGGGAACGGGCTGGGCTGCCCAGGAGCTGGGGACCTTGAGATGACAGTAGCTCAGCAAAAGGGCATTGTGAGCATCTAAACCCACGTCTCTGCAGGGTGCCTGCACGTTTGTGTCTGAGATGAGCCGTACACTGCTGTTTCTGTATGAAAGAGAACTATCCCCATCAGGAAATTTGTGGGGACGAGTGAGTTAATATTGAATCAGGGTAAAAAGACTCACAGGTCCTGCAGTCGAGCCATGTTCTGCATTGTGTCTTCGCTCAGGAAGCTGAGAATAGAAATGGAAAGTTAACCATCTGCTAGTAAAACAGCTAGTTTGCCACGTGCTTCTTAAGTAAAGGGCTGCTCTTATCACTTTTGGGTGACTCTTAATTAAAGGTTTTCCAGGTGAGTCACTTGCTCAGCTTATTTGAGCCAGTGTCTAAGGTTCTGAGATTGACTTGACTTTTAACCTAAAAGGAGGGGCTAGTTACTTATTTATTTCCAACATTCTAGGGTTTTTTTGAATTAACTTGTAAAATGAGTAAATGTCAGATTTTAAAAAGATTTCACTTCAGGAGAAAGTAAAACTTTGTTCTTGAAAACTGAAAGAAAATAAAAAACAAGTATGTTTTAAAATTGGCGAGGGTAAAAAAGGAAACTCTAAGATTACATCGAGACTGAGCAGGTAAGTGGCGTTTGGAGGAGACCCTCCAGAAATGAACACACGGTCATCAAAATAAAGAGCAACATACTCACTCTGAAGAGAGATGCAAACACGGGGTTAGCAGCAGGCCTGAAACATGTCTGTCGGGTATAAGCGTTGGTGGGAAGATCAGTGAGGGTGGAGAAGAGGCCATGGGTGAAGAAAAGACTGAAGGTTTTCCCATAATTCATGAAACTGCAAGTTGCCCGAGTCCAGAGTTTTAAAAGCATCCGCAGCTGGACACATCATTGGAAGTTTTCAGAACATCAGAATGAAAAAGAAAAATTATGGAAGCAACCAGAGCAGACAGACTGCCTTCAGGGGAAGCCGGTGGCAGGTGACCCACTCACAGTAACATGGGTAGCCTCCGGGACCGTCTGCAAGCCTGTACCCAGCACCGAGTGAGCAGTGGTCAGGAGTGACATGGCTAAGCTGTTTCAGTCCAGGTGGACACCTTACTGTGCCCAGTTCCTGCTGCAGTGAGTACTGAAGGTTACTCTAGGCAGGTGGGCACAGAGCTCAGAGAAGCCGTGGGATCCCAGGGCAGGAAAGCGCAGAACCACAGGTGTGGGGGGAGCCTGAGCATGTTTCAGTTGAAGACAGTGCTGATTAACATGGGAACGTAGATGGAGAAACTGAAATCCAGAAGTTAACATGTCACGCACCAGAGGGGCAGGTCGGGAGTGCGGCATTCGGAAGCCCGGTGTTGTTTAAGAGTAGTAAGACAGAAATTTATTAACTGTAGACCTTGTTACAACAAACATGAATGTTAGGAATTTAGGAGTTACCATTCAAAGAACAGAAACATATTGCAAATCTTCTAAATACCAGGCAAAGGGGGAATAGAAACCCCACACAGCCCTGGCTGGTGTGGCTCAGTGGTTAAAGCATTGGCTCAAGGACTGAAGGGTCTCGGGTTCAATTCCTGCCAAGGGAACACACCTTGGTTGCAGGCTCGATCCCAGTGTGGGAGGAAAGCAATGGATGTTTCTCTGCGCTCGC